ATGATAAAAACTAAGAGAAATAAAAACTTTATTCCCCTAAATTTCAAGGAATGGGGTAAATGGGTCAGGTCTGTAAGTCTTATCAACTAACTCAATGGTCATAATACGGTTGCGAAGCTATCAACGTGTAAACAAAATAAAAATAAAATCCACAGTAGACAGTGCATATATTCAGTGCCCATGGATTAAGTAAGTTCCATTCAAAGACTTACCAACATCGGCAGGTCTCATTAACGTAAAGAAATGTAAACCACCAGTTGAATCCATCGCCAAGAGAGAGAATCCACTCCACGTATGGGCTAGACAAACCATGCGCCTGTCTGTGGCTATTCTCTTCACAGGCTGGTCATCATTATTCCCTCTGGTGCCTTGTAGATTATGGTAACTCATCTGTAGGATAGCACACCAATCATGATGCATTCTTAATAATTCCTAGTACCTCCAAGACTAACATTTCTAAACAACAATGCACAATTATAGTAAAATACTGTTGTCAAAAGAAATGATAGGTGGAGCTTCATATCTTTACCTGTTGCATACTGTCTCTATTAATAGCATAGATGGAAGAGTCGGCTGTAGCTGCAGTGATGATAAAGGGTAGCTGGGCACCTGGTGGGCCAGGCAAAAGATGGCGTGGGGCTGTGCCAAGGGTTATGACACTGCTGTTGGATACCCACTCTCCAACACATACCCACTCCTGTAGTAATAAGCAAAACCATTTTCATAAAATCCTTTAACTGTACATATGGACTCCAGCATTTTCAAGACTTACAAATCAAATATCTTGAACAGGCAACAAACCTTGGTTGTGACCCCTGTCGACTCAGCCATTGGTTTGAAGAGCTTCAGCAAGGGTTTGACCTGTTCTTGCAGTTGATATCTCTGAACCATGTGTAAAACAGAGCTGATGGGTGTTCCATTTGGAGTCTGTGAAGGTTTTATATTCTGAATACATAAATGTGTAAAATAGGTTTCATTCTGATAAGCCAGGTACATAAATACAAAAATCTACATCTCTTTAAACTTATTCAAACCTGTTTCTTTTATTGCTAAAAATACTTTGACCAAATTTCATATGCAGAATTTTTTTTTCTTAGAAAAGTAGTTACTGTGACTACTGCATTGGAGTCTACTACCTCAAATTTGGCTAAGTACACATAAATTTCAAAGGAGATAAAAAAAGGCACATATCAACCTTCTGTGAAATTACCTGTTGTGGTTGCACTGATTCTCCGACCTGTGATACTGTTAGAGCTACGAGAAGGCTATTAGGATCTTCCATTTCAGTGTATCTCAAGCATGTCACCTGCACAAGACCCTCATTTTCTGCAAAACAATGTTCATATGAATTAATATATATGTATATATACAAATGAGTTCTTCCCTTCATTTTTTTACTTACAATTTCTTCAACACGAACCCCACACCGATACATACTTAAGTATATATACTACGAATGGTGCTTACTTTGCGTATTGTGCCATGCCATGCCTGAGCGGAAGGGGCAGAAGGACTGTGCTGCCTGAACCTTGACTTTAAGATCCCCTCTCCCACCACCACTGTCCTCCTCAATCATTTTCAGCTCAATTCTCCAACACTTGATCATCTCTGGTTTCCATGTAGCTATATGGATGTGTCCAGCTGGAGAAGAAACAGATAATGATATAAAGATAGGCATATATGATATAAAGTGTAAATATTTTTATGAATAATACTAACTGGGTAAAGATAGTAGAGACATAAATGCAAAGAATGTGACCAACATAACACAAAAGATGAAGAAATGAAAGAAAATAAGCTGAAGAAAAAAGGGCAGGCAAAACCAGGGTAAGAGTGACCTACATGGCGCCAAAGCAGCTGTGGCCACTGTGAAATTGTCTCGAGTATGTCCCAGCACCACCTTCTGTTCTGTCATCACATTACCCTCATGAGTCATCGCACACACCAGCAACAATCCTGTAAGCACGTTATTACATTTCAATAAAATCATAAAATAACAATAGTAATTTCTTTTCCAAGAACATCATTAAAAAAGTACAATATGCTTCATTCAACCATTACAATAAGAGTAATAACCTGAAGCTGTTACTGCAAAGAACCCATTCACTGCGCACTGGCCATGGTCTACTAGTGACGGTTTATGTGGCTGAGCTGAAAACTTCTCTGTGTATAAAGCATGAACTTTGACATCACTAGCATGCAGACATGTCTGAAAAAAGGAAAAAATAGGACATTACAGATAAAAATCGACAAAAATGTTCTTATTAACTATTTTCTCCATTCTAAAAGGCAAAAAGATTATGCTTTTACAATATCAACAACTTCTATTTTGTTCCTCCAAAAGGATAAACTTATTTCAAAGAGTAGAGAACTTACACGAATTCCACCATGAAAGAAATTTATGTGGAGAATGTCTTCTCCACCCCAATCGCAGGTATGGGTAACAGACCAGTCATGTAATCCAGCACCCTTGGAAAATAGTTGCACTGTCCCCATACTACGAACAACTAACAACTGAGATCCGTCACTGCTAAAAACCAACGACGACACATGGCTCGCTGATTCTACAATACTGGAATAAAGGATTAAATCAGATAACAAATAAATATACCTGAAAACATTTTTCACATATAATCATAAATCTTGTACGAACAAACATGGACACAACTCTACATATATATCTCATTGCAGGTATACATGTACATCTTCTATGCATACAGAAAAATAGCAACTATAATACGCAGAAAACATCTGAATTATACTTACACATGGGGTTCATATGGGCAATTGAGGTCCATGACACACACTGTGTAGATCGGAATACGATGCCTATAATTGTCCTGCCTTGTGGATGTACGTGTGAAAGCCACGACACTCTTGGATGATATAGTGCAGATACCTCCATCTCCATATAGCCTGCAAGGGAGGATATACTGTATAATACTATGGTAAATGCAAACTTATATTGAAGGAAAAGATGATGAATGAAAAACAAAAACTGATCCTAGATTTGGTTAAAAAAAATAAAGGGAGAGATAGAGAGGTGGGGGGGGGGGATGAGGAGGAGAAAAGGGAGAGAGAGAAGGTAGGAGAGTAAAAGGAAGAGAGAGAAAGAGAAAGAGCATTAGAGGGAGAAGGAAAGGGAGAGGAAGAGGTATATACATGTATGTATGTATGTATGTATATATATATATATATATATATATATATATATATATATATATATATATATATATAGAGAGAGAGAGAGAGAGAGAGAGAGAGAGAGAGAGAGAGAGAGAGAGAGAGAGAGAGAGAGAGAGAGAGAGAGAGAGAGAGAGAGAGAGAGTGAGAGAGAGTGAGAGAGTGAGAGAGTGAGAGAGTGAGAGAGTGAGAGAGTGAGAGAGAGAGTGAGAGAGAGAGTGAGAGAGAGAGAGAGAGAGAGAGAGAGAGAGAGAGAGAGAGAGAGAGAGAGAGAGAGAGAGAGAGAGAGAGAGAGAGAGAGAGAGAGAGAGAGAGAGAGAGAGAGAGAGAGAGAGTCATATTTTTTTTTACCAACATCCCTATTTATAAGAGAAAAACATTGGAAATCTATGAACATCAGTTGAGTTTTGCACATCTGTCGTCACTGAAAACCTGACATTTTTAAAACTAAACACAGTTTGGGAACATGCAGTGTGCAACGTGGGTAGTCCATAGATATCTTGTTTTCCTATGCTGATACGAATTCTTGACTATTTGGTTATTAGTTATTCTGTCAAATAATTTTTACAGCAAAATAATTTCATGTAATCTATCTATTCATTTATTGCTATAACTTTGATGTTTATATTTTTAATTTCTCTACTCATTATCATTTTTTTACTGTTGTCTTCTCTTGTGGATGACATGCTTACTTTTCCTTTATATAAGTGTGATAAAATGAGATAAACTTTCCATGACTTAGTCTACACGCCTATAGAAACTTTTGACCAAAGGGTATTTCTGCCGAGGTTGATAAGCCTCAATACTCTGATTTTCTACTTATGAAATCTTGCTGTGGAATGGAGTTTGGCTGCGATATCACTCTCAAAGCACATCACTCGGACCTGTCCAGGATCTAACCTGCCAGTGGAGATTTTATATTCTAGGTAGGTGTTGGAGGCAGCAACTCGCTCCTGATGAGGGAACTTTTTGGGAAGAAGCCCCCAAACAATGACAAGAATTCATACTGTATAACAAACCTACTATTTCCTGATGCTACCACTTGCCTCTCCCACCTACCGGGTTTGGTATCATTGCTACTGATGTCTAGCACCAACTAAAACCACACTAATATCACACTCCACTGGCCACCATGAAGAATCCATCAATTCTAAATCTGATGTTTTAGATGTACACTATCTCCTAAGAAAACAAAAACTGCGACCAAAATCTGGAAAAAAAACTGAACTCTGAACATTCCTTCTCAACATAACTGTTAACTTAATAGAAACCCATGATAACAAAAGCTAAAAACTTACCAATATCTCTTCCTCTAAGCAATCCCACGCTACATAACTACCTCTAAGTAATTAGACTGAACAACTATACAACCAACAAACAACCGAAACAAATTGCCGGGTTCAACAAAACCCCAACTCTTCAACTCATGTTATTTACAGCAAGACAAAACCGTATTAAGAGCACCACTCACGAGGATAAATGAGCTTCATCTGAACCTCTCTTCTCTGAAACGGTGTAAAGGAGCTCCATTTTCCTTACTTCCCTTTCCTTTTCTTCTTCCAGTAAGTAATAAGAAAGTCTGCAACTTGAATCCAGACTTTTCTCGTAACCTAGTTTTGTTCTACTGTCGCGGCACGACGCACTACGCCATTGGGAAGACGACTTGTAAACGGAGTCACTTATTCGGACTCGTACTGCAGAGTGCAGGTTTTATGCATTTCTTTGTTGAAGCAATTGGTATAAGCATAACGCTTTCCATAAAGAACGAGAAGAATTGTATAAATATGTCTTGACCAATTAAAGAGTGAAGATATGGA